TTTGTGTCTTTTCCGGATGATCAGTAGTGGAGCCCAGTTGGGACGATCGGGGATCTAGCATTTGGGGTTGTCTTCTTTTATTTTGGTTCCGTGGTCGGACCTTGATCGTATTCTGGATGATGTATGTTTAACTTGTTATTTGTGTGAAGTGGCGATTGTAAGCCAACTCTTTATCCCTTTCTTATTCAGTACATGGGATTGTGTGAAGATTACCCCACTTGCGACTAAACTACCATGCGTCTATGCCTCTAAGTCGTGCCCCGACACATGGGAGATATAGCCGCATTATGGGCGTAACAGGATCCTTTCTAGAGAAGGATTTTCTAACGAAAGAAGTGAGTGGGAGGAAAGTAGAACTTGATGAGGTAGTTTTATTCTCCCGAATTGGAAAGTAGTTCATCACAGAAATCAGTTCCAGTGATTCCTACACCAATTAGTGAGGAAGCTAATGATGATGATCATGAAACTTCAGATCAAGTTACTACCGAACCTCGTAGGTCAACCAGAGTACGGTCCGCACCAGAGTGGTACGGTAATCCTGTTCTGAAAGTCATGTTACTAGACCATGACGAACCTACAAACTATGAGGAAGCGATGATGAGCCCAGATTCCGTGAAATGGCTTGAGGCCATGAAATCTGAGATGGGATCCATGTATGAGAACAAAGTATGGACTTTGATTGACTTGTCTGATGATCAACGAGTCATTGAGATTAAATGGGTCTTCAAGATGAAGATGGACGCTGATAGTAGTGTTACTATCTACAAAGCTCGAATTGTCGCAAAAGGTTTTCGACAAATTCAAGGTGTTGACTACGATGAGAGTTTCTCACTCGTATCTATGCCTAAAGTTTGTCTGGATCATGTTAGCGATTGCCGCATTTTATGAAATTTGGCAAATGGATATCAAAACTGCATTCCTTAATGGATTTCTTAAATAAGAGTTGTATATGATGCAACCAGAAGGTTTTGTCAATCCGAAAGGTGCTAACAAAGTGTGTAAGCTCCAGTGATCCATTTATGGACTGGTGCAAGCATCTCGGAGTTGGAATGTATGCTTTGATAGTGTGAAAAAGCATATGGTTTTATACAAACTTTTGGAGAAGCCTGTATTTACAAGAAAGTGAGTGGGAGCTCTGTAGCATTTCTGATATTATATGTGGATGACATATTGTTGATTGGAAATAATAAAGAACTTCAGGATAGCATAAAAGGACACTTGAATAAGAATTTTTCAATGAAAGACCTCAGTGAAGCTACTTACACATTGGGCATCAAGATCTATAAAGATATATCAAGACGCTTGATAAGACTTTCGATGAGTACATACCTTGATAAGATTTTGAAGGAGTTCAAAATGGATCAGTCAAAGAAGGAGTTCTTGCCTGCATTGTAAGGTGTGAAGTTGAGTAAAGACTCAAAACTCGACCACGGTGGAAAATAGAAAGAGAATGAAAAGTCATTCCTATGCCTCAGTCATAGGTTCTATAAAGTACGATATGCTGTGTACCAGACCTATTGTGTACCTCACCATGAGTTTGGCTAGAGGGTACAATAGTGATCCAGGAGTGGATCACTGGACATCGGTCAAAATTATCCTTAGTGTAATAAGGACATGTTTCTCGGTTATGGAGGTGACAAAAAGTTCATTGTAAAGGGTTACATCGGTGCAAACTTTGACACTGATCCGGATGACTCTAAGTCTCAATCTGGATACATATTGAAAGTGGGAGCGATTAGCTAGAGTAGCTCCGTGCAGAGCATTGTAGACATAGAAAATTTGCAAAATACATACGGCTTTGAATGTGGTAGACCCATTGACTAAACTTATCTCACAAAGCAAAACATGATCACTCTTTGGGTGTTAATCACATAGCGATGTGAACTAGATTATTGACTCTAGTAAACCATTTGGGTATTAGTCACATGGAGATGTGAACTAATCACATAAAGATGTGAAGTATTGGTGTTAAATCACATGACGATGTGAACTAGATTATTGACTCTAGTGCAAGTGTGAGACTGAAGGGAATATGCCCTAGAGGCAATAATAAAGTTGTTATTTATATTTTCTTATATCATGATAAATGTTTATTATTCATGCTAGAATTGTATTAACCGGAAACTTAGTACACGTGTGAATACATAGACAAAACAAAATGTCCCTAGTATGCCTCTACTTGACTAGCTCGTTAATCAAAGATGGTTAAGTTTCCCGACCACAGACATGTCTTGTCATTTGATGAACGAGATCACCTCATTAGGAGAATGATGTGATGGACAAGACCCATCCGTTAGCTTAGCATGTTGATCGTTTAGTTTTATTGCTATTGCTTTCTTCATGACTTATACATATTCCTTTGACTATGAGATTATGCAACTCCCGAATACCGGAGGAACACCTTGTGTGCTATCAAACGTCACAACGTAACTGGGTGATTATAAAGATGATGTACAGGTGTCTCCGAAGGTGTTTGTTGGGTTGGCATAGATCGAGATTAGGATTTGTCACTCCGAGTATCGGAGAGGTATCTCTGGGCCCTCTCGGTAATGCACATCATTATAAGCCTTGCAAGCAATGTGACTAATGAGTTAGTTGCGGGATGATGAGATTTGCCAGTAATGAGATTGAACTAGGTATGATGATACCGACGATCGAATCTCGGGCAAGTAACATACCGATGACAAAGGGAATAAAATATGTTGTTATTGCGAATTGACCGATAAATATCTTCGTAGAATATGTAGGAACCAATATGAGCATCTAGGTTTCGCTGTTGGTTTTTGACCGGAGATGTGTCTCGGTCATGTCTACATAGTTCTTGAACCCGTAGGGTCCGCACGCTTAACGTTCGATGACGATTTATATTATGAGTTATGTGTTTTGGTGACCGAAGTTTGTTCAGAGCCCTGGATGAGATCACGGACATGACGAGGAGTCTCAAAATGGTCGAGAGGTAAAGATCGATATATTGAAAGGTAGTATCCCGACACCGGAAGGGTTCCAGAGTGTATCGGGTACATACCGGAGTACCGGAGGGGTTACCGGAACACCCCGAGGAAAGATATGGGCCATAGGAGGAAGGCTAACCAGCCCACAACGGGCTGGTGCACCCCCACAAGGGAGGAGGCCGAACTGGATTAGGGAAGGGGGCGATGCCCCCCTTTCCTTCTCCTACTCCCTCTCATTTCCCCCTTTCCCCCTCTGGAAGAAGGAAAAAAAGGAGGGCCGAATCCTACTAGGACTGGAGTCCTAGTAGGACTCCCCTCTCCCTAGCGCGCCCCTTGGTAGTCGGCCTCCTCCTCCCCTCCTTTATATATGGGGGCAGGGGGCACCCCAAAGCACATCAATTGTTCTCTTAGCCGTGTGTGGTGCCCCTCTCCACAGTTTACTCATCTGGTCATAGCGTCGTAGTTCTTAGGCGAAGCCCTGCGCGGATCACATCACCAACACCGTCACCATGTCGTCGTGCTGACGGAACTCTCCCTCGACCCTCTACTGGATCAAGAGCTCGAGGGACGTCATCGAGCTAAACGTGTGCTGAACACGGAGGTGCTGTACGTTCAGTACTTGGATCGGTTGGATCGTGAAGACGTTCGACTACATCAACCGCGTTAATATAATGCTTCCGCTTTTGGTCTATGAGGGTACATGGACACACTCTCTCCGTCTCGGTGCTATGCATCTCCTAGATAGATCTTGCGTGATCGTAGGATTTTTTTTGAAATTGCATGCTACATTCCCCAACAGAAGGCCTATCCTTTAGTGTAGTTTATGCCTTTTTTTAGTGAGACCATATGCAATGTAGCAAAGTACCTTAGTGTGGGATTGCTCGAATATGTTTTTATGTGTCCTTTTATGCGTTTGTCATTTGTGTCTTAGCGAGAACCATACTGATATGTAAAAGTTGTGTTTTAACACATGCAAGTTACTACTTTTTCTACCCGCTTCTAACATGAGTTTTATATTTTTTTGGTTGTACATGCTTTCATGCACAGGGAGTTGCATGTGTTTAGTACTAGAGTTTCCCTGTTTTTACACCTCCTAGAGGCAACTCTAGACTTTTTGCACAGCTACCATCGCACAGAGTTGTTTCAATGCATACAGTATAGAGAATTAGGTTTTGGTGTTGCAATGTACCTGCAAAGCTGTGCAATGCTCCTGCATATTTTTTCGCACTAGAGTTGCCCTACTTTTGTACTGGTGTTGCTTTTTGTTTCATAAGAGTTGCTCAAGATGCATGCCATACATATGGTTGGCTCAAAGCAATCTACAAGTTGCTCTTATTTTTTTCACCAAATCAAATAACAAACTAAAAACTAGTTGATGTTTAAGTAGGGCAAGGCTGGGGTGGTTGAGTAGGGAAGAGAGAAAGCCGGGAGAGGTGGTGCTTACCTTTTTGGGGGGAGGTAGGCTCTCCTTTGTTGTCTCCAGATCTGATTTTTGGAGCAAGGAGGAGCAAAGAGAGGTTCTTGCGTCGGCTTGTTCTTCAAGACGCCATTGATGGGGCAAATCTATTTTAGAGGAAGAAAAGAGGAATAAGGAGGAAGAAGGGGACCCCTGCGCGGACTTGTCTTTCAAAGAAAAGGGAGAAAGTGGTCGCGTGAGGTGCGTGAGGGCGCTGGGGATAGTAGTGGAGCGTGCGCGAGGATGCAAGGAGGGGGAGGGACCGACGACAGGAACCCGTGATCGGCTCGATCAGGTGAAGCGACAAGACGTGGGGCATGTGGTTTCATTTTTGCGTGTCCGCGCGGCGTGGTTTCTTTCCGTATATGGGAGGGCACTCGGGTGCCAGCTAGTCGGGTCCATATAAATTCGTGTACAGACAACTGGGCCCGCATCCCAGCCCTACCTGCCATTTTCCTCCGTTCGTTCATCTCCTTCGCCTCGCCACCGTCCCTCCTCCTCTCTTCCCTCCCTCATCCCTCATCTCGTGTCGGCTCGAAAGTCGAAACCCTAGACCAACCACCCTCCCCTAGTACGTAGGAACAGGGACAGAGATGTATGCAGACCAGATCTCCACCGGCCGCAAGCGCTCCATCCATGACCGCCTTGACGCCGACCTCCCCTCCGACCGCGGCGGCGCGGACGCCGCCGGCCGGGCTCGTAACGCGCTGTCCAAGAGGTCAGCTTAAGTTCCGCTCCCACCTGCTCCTTCCATATCGTTGCCACGGCTCCCTCTGTAACCTTAGCTTGGGGCTTCTCGCTCTGTGCGTTCCTATGTGCTTAGGGATGGTGGAAATTAGGGCCTTGTTTTAGGTTGCTCGTGCTGAGGGCGGCGCCCCTAGATTCCATGCCTTCATTCATGTTAGAATTGAGGTTGTGGAGAGTAAGGACGAGCTTTGAGCCGCGTGATGTGTGTTGTTTGTCTGAGCGATGGAAATTGTGGTGTCAGATTCAATGATTCTGCATGACAAATATCATGAATTGGTCTGTTGGACGTCACGTCATTATGCAGCATAACATGGGAATTGCAGCGTAGGTTTCTGGATAATCCTTTTTTTTGGTCAAGCGCTTGCTTTACTGTTTTACCTGAGGATTTGTGATTTCATATGTTGAGTATCATGGTATGGACTATGGAATGAGCTCGGATAATACTAGTTGATAGCGCCTGTGGGAGCTAGAAGCTAGCGATGTAACCTTGGACACGGTGTTTTACTCAATCTAGCAGTAACTTATGTAACTGAGGTATGAACTGTTGCAGAATCAATCACCAATGCATTGCTATTGATTTTTTAATAGATAGTTTGTTATTTCTAAAGAAAATAGTCCTGCTTTCTAGTCTGAAAGTATCGAGGGTGGATATGTTGGTTCACTTCTATCCTCATGTATAAACTTATACTTTGTAAAGCTTGCTGACACGAGCCTTGATGTATTTAAGCCTGCTTGTAAAAGAAAGATCAATGTTCTTTGCTAGTACGCATGGTTTAAGTTATTAAGGGGTCTATAGTTCTTGCGAGCATTGTACTATCATGTTTCCCCACTTCACTAGACTAGCTAATTTCACGCGTATTGATTTCTTGATGTATGCTATCTGTAGGCAACGACAAACTGATGATAAATGGAAGCATGATCTTTACCGGGATGATGAATCAGCTTCAAGTAATCTATTTGTTGATGTATCTTAAATGAAGTAAGGCAACCTACCTTTTATTTTGGCCCCATTTAACTCTTATCTGTCTGCACTTAAGGATCAGTTGATCCACGGGATTTGCGATTCAAGCTTCAGAAGAAAAGCTCTCAGCAAGGGTTTGCTGGCCAAAAGGGTTCCGGGGTACGTGATCTACGTGAGATGTTATCTGGAACAATGCACGCACAACCATCAAATGTTGACCCTCAAAAGAGGAAACCGGTGTCAGAGGTTGTGAAAGTCACAAGGCGTGAAATTGTTGATGAAAGGCCTGTACGCCTAAGTAAGAAAGTATCAAAACCATCAACATCCAAGAAGACTTCTCAGCCAAAGGTATGAATTCTGTTGGTGATACACAGTTTCCCAGTTTCTTGCTTTCCACATGTACCAGAACGCTAGACTTTATTTAGTGGTTGATGAATAGCTTGAAAGATCAATTGCTGGAACTGATCTTTCTAAATGATGCCCAGCATGAAATTTGTAGTAACTCTTTTGGATAATGCTGTGACACTATGTTTGCTTAGCTTGCTATGTTTTTCTATTCCATACAGAGTATCTATTAACACTTGATCCCGGTGGTATATTTGTCTACATGACATAGGTTTGAGCCTTTATTTATTGAGTTTATGTGTATGTTTTATTTTAAGCTCTCTCATTAGCATTTCATTTGCAAAGAACAGCCCTCTTCCTACAAAGATTACTAGGATAACATGTGCGTTTTCAGCATTTCCCTTGGATCACTTATGCCGACCTTGATAGAATTTTGAGAAATCCCATTAGCCACTGTCATGTAAGCATAGGTACTTCTATAGCTGGACCCCGTGGAAGTTTGGTACCTCCTGGTAGTAGGATTTACTATAGGCGAATGTGTACCTGAACTCGTGTGTATATATAGTCTGGTTTCCATAATACAAGCTTTTAATGAAGGGATAATGGTGCTTTACACTTTGTTATACTTCCAAGAAAGCAACAATCACATTAGCTCTATCATCTGTCAAGTGGTCATGCTACATTTCAGTATGAAGAACTCGTGATGAGGGTCTGCTGAATTGTTCTGTTCAAAACCTCTGCCCTAGTTAACCAACAATGGGTTGCTGAATGTTGGATGTTGCCTTGGTAGTAGGTACCTTTCAGCACAGGTTTATCTCCTCTAGTTGTCCCTTGGCGACATTTATTGAAATTACTCATCTTTGGCTTGGGAGTGTGTAGAATTAACTATTACCATGTCTCTAGTTTGCGCTTGGGAGTGTGTAGAATTAACTATTACCACGTCTCTAGTTTGCTTCAATTCTGGTGTTATTGTATGTAGGTTAAGGCAGAGAGTCCAATGTGGAACACCTTATATAAAACTTTAAATGTGCATGATGTAGCTCGCTAGTAAGCTTGCTTATTTTGGGGAATGTGTGATATACCATTTTTAGAAATATACTTTCTGGCTTGTTTTGCTTTCTGATCTAACATCTTTTCTTTTGGGAATGCTTGTAGGCTGAAAGTCCACTCGACAGTTTTCTGAAATCACTTGGACTTGAGAAGTATTCTATTACCTTCCAGGCGGAGGAGGTTTGACTATTTACCTAAATCATTACATTGTTTTTTCGTCTGTTTAGTTGACAATTGTTGTTTTGCAGGTTGACATGGCGGCCCTACGTCACATGACTGAAAGTGATCTCAAGGCGTTGGGCATCCCGATGGTAAGAGCACCACATCATGCCGGATCTTTAATTTTGCAACAATAGGCATTTCTTGGCTTCTCACATCCTTCATCTAAGGAGTAATTTCAGTATGGTTTGGCTATATTTTGCATAAACTGTAGACTCAACTGTTAAACAAGGTGTTATGACCGGCATAGGGGCTTAGCCCAGTGGGTTATGGCCCAAGTATCTTAATTAGGGGCTTAGCCCAATTATCTTATTGTATTAGGATCATTTGCTTAGGAGTCAAGTAACTTGTTGTATTAGGATCATTTGCTTAGGAGTCAAGTAAACCTCTCTATATAAGGAGAGGAGATGTATCAATCTAATCAAGCAAGAAGCAATCAATATTTGCTCGGCTTCCCTTAGGGAGCCGGGAGACCTAAACCCTAGCCGCCTCCTGCTTTCGCCGCCGCTGCTCCCATCGCAAGGACGGCGCCACGCCGCCGGCCGCCACGCACCAGCCCTCGCCCTTTCCCCTCCCTCCCCTACAACCTACGCCCCAGGCCTGGTAGGGTACAAGCTCCTACCACAAGGACACATAAGTACGTAGTTAGAATGCATCATTTTTCTGAGGAACTGGACTGAACCTGCTTTACAGAACTACTGCCTGCACTTACATTTTTTGTCCGGGGATATGGCACGTATGTTAATGCCAAATTGAATGTAAAGTAACTCTTTTGTAAGTCTGCATTCTTATTTGTGCATGCGTATACTTTGCCTCTAGTCGCAAAGGTCAAGCTTAAGGTGCATGTTCTTTCAGGGTCCTAGGAAGAAGATTACCCTTGCCTTGGAATCCAGAGCGTAGGGCAATGTCCCTGGAGTACAATGTAGAAAAGCAGGGAGATGTGGTAGGTTTTTGCTCATCTGCAAATTTGGCATATCTTGGAAAGCAGTGGTACAGGTAAACAATGCGGTGTCTCTTGTAATGGCATGTTGCTGTAAGATTATTAGACTGCTGTTGTTTATCTGGTCTGCATGCTTTCCTGGCCAGACCAGCTGATTTAACTGATGAGGTATCCGTGCTGTTGAAGCTGCGGTGATGTTCTCGCTGTATACTATTATTATGCCTTTTTTTTCATTGGAAACTGGCATTATTAGAGTAATAGAGTTGAGATTCTTCAGTTAGTATTTCAGTGTTGCGTTGCTCAGTGTAAAGGTTTTAAGTTTCATCTGTTTTCATGCTCAGCCCTTGTTCGGAATGTTTTTCTTTTGAGCTGACATGTTAGGAATCTATTTACAAGAGAGGTTGGTCATAGAGAAAGAAACAAGGTGTTGAAATTAATTAATCTCAGAAAATTAAGCAGCCTCAGCTCACACTGTCTTGTGTTATGGTGATCTAAGGGATGCAAGCTGGCAGAGTCCACATGTGTGTGAACCAAAAGTTAAACCAACATGATTATTAAAGTAATGAAGATTAGTGTAATTTTGCTTTGTGGGTGGCAGTGGATATGCCGTCTGCTTCATCCCGGAAGTGTCTCTGCGTTGCCCTGCCAATCTGCCGCAAAGATAGGCAGATGGGAGCTCCTGGATGATTGTTCGTTCAATCTTATTTTTAGGGAATGCCATCATGGCTGCTTTATTGAATTGGTAATAGTTACATCATTTGCAATGGCATTCACTGGAAAATTTGGGGGTTCATTGACCCACTTAGAAGAAGAATTTCTATCATAAGCAAATTTTGCTAACGAGTGGGATGCCTCATTAGTTTAACGAACACAATGCATAAATTCTATAGATCCTACCATACCAGTCAGGATAAAAACAGTGTGTAGATGCATCACTAATGTAAGGTATATAGGGGAACATGACGCTCCAGAAATACTCCATGATCATCTCTTACAATTGCTCCAGTGGCGCCTCTGTTCTCAGTATGGAACGATACATCCACGTTCACTTTAACTGAACCACCTGTTGGTTTCTTTCATGTTAACCCAGCTCGTTTTATTCCTCCGAATTGAAAGTTTTTGCCATATTTCATGTATAGCTAAAGAGCTTCTATTACTTGGGGGACCCTGATTCTGGTGAGTCTGCTGTCTCCTTAGCCACCACATGTTACATCAATGCCCTCCTTAAGACCAACAGAAGGTAAATTAGGCATATTTCTGTTAGGCAAACATAGCAAGTGCTCTAATACTGCCGAACCCGATCTGTCAACCAACACCGCCTGTGAGATCAGCTCCGAAAGTCTGAGTAATCGCCACAACTCCACAGCACGGCTGCACTGAAATAGCAGGTGATTGACATCCTCAACTCCTTGCGCACAGATTGGGCATTGGCCAATACTTCCAACATGTCTATTAGCAAGTATAGACTTAAGTTGTAGGATCTCATGTAGCGTCCGCTAGCAAATTTTTTTGACCTTGCCCGGAATTTGCATTTTCCATAGAATCGATCATATTGGGTCCTCTAAGGATGGCCCAGACCGTGATATTCCAGTATGCTGAAAGTGATGTTTCCACTCCAAGTGGTATGTCGTTTTAACAGAGAAGTGTCCTGATTGTGTACCATGCCAGGCTTCAAAGTCATCAAAGGAGCTATAGCTTAATGGAATTTGGAGAATACAGTTAACATCTATTGGGCTAAAAATATCACGGAGAAGTTCTTCGTCCCAACTTTTAGTAGTAGGGTCTATAAGCTCATTCACCTTTGTAATCAAGACACCTGCTCTAGGGGTAACGACTTTCCTTGACGGGATCGAGGGAATCCAGTGGTCATCCCAGATATTCACTTTCTCTTCGTTCCAGTTCTCCAAATATGTCCTTGTTTAAATGTTTTATTAATGCCGGCATATATGCTCTGCCAAGTGAACAAATATGTCTTTGTTTAAATGTTTTATTAATGCCGGCATATATGCTCTGCCAAGTGAACAAGGCGCCCTTTTTCAGTCCGACATATAATAAGTTTTCGGAGGGGTAGTATCAAGGTAGTCAGAGTCGGGACTCGGAGTCGGATCGATTTTCCTCGGACAGAATCGAGTCGTAAGATCGAGTCGTGGAATCGAGGATTCTACTAGATTTACTCAAATAAGATATTTTGTATGCACACAAAAAATTTATATGGGTTCTATAGAGTTTTGACACTAAATATGGAGCAAAGAATATACACATCAATGCTAGTTGTATTCCATTTCTTTTTATGGCTAACCTACCTTGTAGCTCGCATGTATGGAACATATATGAGAGGGAAATATATAGAACATTTAAACCTGCAATGCATGAAATTTACTAATGTTCTTTTTAGAGTGCGCGAATAGTCGATCACTTGTCTATCTGACCTACAATGCTAAACCTTGAAGGGTCTTGCTCTCCTTCTCCGATCAATCTTGAAGCATCCTCCTTTTCACGCTAATTCCATATGTTGACAAGCCTGATCCTCAATTTCGATCTAGGGTTTCTAAGAGCTGGATCAAAGCTGTCCGCGGCTGAGCATTTGGACTTAGGAGGGGAATAAAGGTCCATAAGGTATATGAAAAGGGGTTTGGATGATGGCATACTATTTTGCTACAACTAAGCAAACAGCTTAGATAAGTTAGTAGAATCGGATGTAGTCCATAGCATAGTCGAGATTGTACAGTTTTGTACAGGATTCTATGATTTGGATCGTGACTCGACATGGATTCTACCTGATTCGGATTCATAGTGGGATTTGGATCGACATGCTTTCGTAGGGTCGTGAAGTCGTAGGATTCTAGCAGTCAAATCGGGATTCTGACTACCTTGGGTAGTATTTTGCATTAAGAACTCTGGCACATAAGGACTCTTGATCATCAAGTAGGCGCCACCATTGCTTTGCAAACATTGCTAAGTCGAAAGAGTGGATGCCTCGAAAGCCCATCCCTCCATCTTTTTGGGATACGTAATTTCCACCAATGCATTCTCTTTGATTTTCATCCTCCCCCAACCAAAATCTTGCGATTGGATTTGTGATTTCTTTGCACACCCTTTAGAAATTGTAAGTATGGACATTGCATAAACAGGGATTGACCGAGTTACTGACTTTAATAAAATCTCCTTTCCTTCTATGGACAACTGCTTCTCATTCCAACCACATGTTCGTGAACAAACTCTTTTAACAAAATGATTAAAACAGTCACTCCTGTCTGCTCCAACTAGAGCTGGTGAACCAAGGTATTTATCTGACAGAGCTTCGGTCTTAATATTGAGGCATCCACAAATATCAGTTCTCAATGTTGCATGCATATTGGGGCTGAAAAAACACTTGATTTTGCTACACTAATCATTTGGCCTGAATTTTTGCAATACGTATCAAGAGCTTGTCGTAGAGAAGTTGCATTAGTCATATCTGCCTTCATAAGAACCAGAGAATCATCAGCGAATAAAAAGGTGTAATACTGATGATGCATTTCTTTACACCCTGATCTCATCCATGCCACCAACTTCCTCTTCAAACAACAATAGGCTTGATAACGTATCTGCACGAATAAGAAACAAGTACAACAACAGAGGATCCCTTTGGCGAATACCTTCTTTGTTCTAAAAACTGTTTTTAAAAAACCGGTTTAGAAGAACATTATCCTAACCACTTTCATCCTTAGACCTCCGTGCAGTAGCGGAGACAGGCCCAAGGCAACTAAGGCTATAGCCCCAGGCCCAATAACAACTTCCTTTATAATTCTTTCATACAAAGTATAGCAAATTATAGAAGTTTATCACTTAACATATCATAGCCCCAGGCGTAACCTGCTTCTAGCTCCGCCACTACCGGCTCCGCGTACAACACACATTGCCCAGTCCCACCTGCCCAATCGACCTCCATGTATAACACACATCGCCCAATCCACCTTTGCGAGCATTGCCTGCCTAGCAGCTAGAGCAAGGGCTCATGCCCGTTAGAGGTGTGGTTAATGCTCGCAAATTTGTACTAAAATTGCTGGATTGGAGGGAGTAGTGTTTATGGTGGAGAGGATTGAACAGAGTGATGCAGGGAGAATTAAATGACAACCTTCCGAGAGCTCCTATCTGTTGATCTTTGCGTCACATTGGTGGGGCGATGCACAGATAGCCGACGACATTTTTTTTCTGAATTCTGAAACAGTACACCCCTAAACTTTTTAAATTTGTGATTTTTTTTTCTGAAAGGCAGGAACATATTTTGAAATTATGATTTTTTTTGAAACCGTGAACATTTTTTGATATCCCTGAACCGTATTTGAAACATGAATATTTTTTGAATATGTAACAAACTTTGAGAACATAAACTTCTCTGAAATTTGTGAACACTTTTTGTTAATATGTAAATAAACTTGAAGAAAAGTAAAAAGTAATACTGTCTCTGTTCACTTTTATAAGATCTTGAAGATATTTCAGATAATGTGTAAAACATCCTATTTTAAGTTGTCTGAAACGACTTACAAAAGTAAACGGAGAGAGTAATAAAAACGAAAATAAAAGAAAAATAAAAAATAAAAACAAAAAACAAAAATGAGATCCCGTCCCGGCAATATGAATGGACGGGCCTCTTCCTGGGCCTGGGTCGCATGGTTGGGTTGAGGCTACAGAACTGAGCTCCCTGGGTAGCAGGCCCATTCACGCCAACGGGGGAGTCGTCAGAAAACCCTAGCGCGAGAACCTCTCCATGCGCCCTATATACATAACCAGCGCCGCCGAAACCTCTCCCCGTGTTCCGCTTCGGCAGTAGAAGAATCTCCCCTCTTCCTTTTTATCGCCGGCGTTTTGTTTGGATCTCTCTTGTTTGCCGACCGTTGTTTCGTTTTTGGTTTCGCTGGTTCAGCGGCGCGCGGCCGGCTTCGGCGGTGGCCGAGCGCCTTCTGACCACCAGCCACACGCGAACCAGTCGATCATCTGACCGAGCGTCTCTTCGGGTTTTCCACACGGATTCGCTCTTGTCGAGATCTGACACATCCCACCACCGAATCGTGCTACCGATTTTGGGTTTTCTTCTCTCTCTCTCTCGTCCTTCTCTCGTGAGTTAAGCTGGTGATGTGGTGCCAGGGATGACCCCGGTTCCTTGGCCACCTCCCATACCCAGCGAGACGAAGAGTATTCGATTGGATTTTCTCGGCGGCCGGTATTCCACGGGCGTACGCGGTTCATGTTCACATCCGCGTTTGCTCACGACCTGGCTGCCACATCCCGCTTTGCAGGACGGCCTTTCCCCCCCTTTATTTGGTTGTTTTTCTGATCATGGTTTTTATGTATTGGCAACAGAGGAAAAAGTGTTTTATGTTAACCAGGTGTAAGTCAAGTGGCAGCGGGCTACCCTAATCGGATGAGCTGCCGCGGTTACACGCCTGGAAGATCGACGCGTGCCCTTCGTTACATGCGCCGCGTCTAACCAATAGCGTCTCGTGTACATCAGGGCTTCACATTTTTAAACCTGTTCTTCCTACTTCACTCGTAGCACAACACGTCGGACGGATGGTGATACAGTTTGATAGGAGAACTGCCTAGAGCGGCATTGAAACGATTAATATTTCACGAAATTTCTCGTCTGCTTTGTAGTAAGACTGATTGAATGGCTAATTCCCAAATTGTAACAAATGTGAACATAACAAAATTTCATGGTGGTTTTGAAGAACAGTTTTGCTAAAGCACGTCTAAATGAGCTCTAAGTATTGCACATCTAAGTCTTATTATCATTAAGGGTTTGTCTAGGGCACATTTAGATATGCGCAAAATTGTATCATTAATTTACACGAAGAGTCTGCAAGCATTTTCTTCTCTTTTTATTTTCCTTTTAATCCATCTTGTTGATTCCTATCATTTATCTTAATTTAAACAGGTGGTGTTTGGTTTTCTAGTCCTATGACTTTTTCTAGTCCTTAGGACTTTTTAGAAAAGAAATTCAAGTAGGTGCTTCTAAGGACTTTTAGAAAAAGTCTTAAAAAAGTCTTTGATTTGTTAGGGAATTTTTCTAGTCCCAACATAAAAAAATTGTTGGAACCAAATGCAAGTCATCCGTGTAGTTTTAGATCGACGATTTAACTATCTAAATATGTACATTATATGTGACAAAAAATATATATTTAGAAACTACATCCATACAAAAATCTAGTGATATATTTTCCATGGCATACAACACATATTTAATTCCTCAAATTGATGATCT